GTTTGTATTGTATGTTTTTATCTGGCTGTACACCGCCCTGAGTCTTTCGAGAGAAGGTGCGGTATATAAATTTGAAATAAAATAAAAATAAATAAAAAATAAATATATCTTTTTTTTTAATAGAAAATAAATAAAAAAACTTATAAAAAAAAAGAAATAGGCCAAGTTGTTGGGTCGCCCATCGGTTCTCTTGCACCAAGAAGTATCCAGGTGGCAACCCCACTGCTGCCAGGGGTGTCTGACCAAGGACCCCAGCTTCCGCTGGAGCTGCGTGTGCCGGCCCCTTGTCCAACAGTGGGGAGGCGGCGGGAACAGGAGCCACTGTTCTTTTGCTGGGGGGCTCTCACTGCCCCAAGTAGAGGTGGCACCATTGGCGGCAGGAGGGTGGGAGATGGGGAAGGCAGCAGTTTCATGGCACTCATCCCAGCTCCCACAGTCATGGCCCTCATTGAGGTGGCTCCCTGGACTTCCAGCCCGCTGAACTTCTCCTTCAGCTATTCCATCGACAGACTGGGAACCGTGGCTGGGAACTTCCACTCAGTTGGGTCATCCCACTTAGCTGCTCACCTAGCATTCCAATTGCTCCTCTGGGTCACCGTGATTCCAGGATTAATCTGTTGGTGCTCCACTTCTACCGCCTACCCTATGTGGCTTGGCCATCAGCCCCTGGGGCCTTCTGTTGTGACTCCGACCCCCAAGCCCGTCTTATCAGAGGAAGAAGACTTCGAAAGTGAAGGAGAGGAGTTGGCAAGGCCTCCCTCTCCAGGACCCTCCTCCCTGGCAATGCCTCAGGTGTCGTCCGAAGGCCAAGAGATAGGCCAGGAGCCAGGCACTTCCGAGCAGCCGCAGTTAAGACAGGAGATGAGTCTTGGCCGGATCCCCGACAACGTCAGAAAGATAAGCGTGCGCAGCAGAGAAAGAGGCGTGCCAGAGATTAAGCTGAGTCACTGGACCACACCCCACAGGGGATAAAAGGGGGTGTGGTTGCCATTCAGGCCTTGTGACGGACAAAACTGAAAAGCTAGCAAGTCATACTGCATTTCTGGAACTTCGTTATATGCCCTCCTTGGATTTATTATGGACTGACTTTGACAATTATTTGGCTTTGTGGACTTATTTTGGTGTATCGGACGGAGGAGAAAAACCTCCCTTTGTGAGTAAAGTCTTTGGCAGGCAGCTACTGGGTTGCTGCCAATTCTGTTATCTCAAAGGAATTCCTGATTGCTGGTTTTATTAACTCCTGGCTGACTGTTTGTGTGCGTGTGTGAGACGGGGACAGAACACCTTCCATCACTCTTTCCCCCTTGAGCATGGGCTGTTGCTCTGGCTTCTCTGTTTAGGACGTGCCGCTTGCATCCTGGCTTTGGCTTCAGCTGCTGCTGGGACCTCTTGAGAGGGGGCTTCCCCTGGCTTGGGCCCCACCATCTCTTTCTTTGTCAGCTGCTGACATCTTGAAGCTGCCAACTTCCTGGTGGAGTCCAGGTAGGCAGCTATATGGAGAGCTGGTTTGATGTCAACTGTCCAGTTAGCGAATCCCGAAAAGGGAACTCCTGGGACGTTATTTTAAAACTTTATTGAATAAACCACACTGGCACAGAAGAAGCGAAACCAGGTCTGGTTTTCCGCACAAAAGTGAGTGTAGTTAAGTCCCCCTTTTCCCTACGGGCCACTCACAGTCCAAAATGTCCACCAATCGCTTCTGTTCATTTGTTATGGGAAACAGCCAGCCACGCCGGGACATCTGCTTGGCATGTCCTTGAGATGCCAGCATGTCTCATGGAAGCTGACGGATGCTTGAATACCACTCTCTTACCCCTGCATTCCATCCACCCACCTCCCTGTTATTGTCAAGGTGCAAGCGAAGGAAGAATGTTTCTTATCCTGCCCGCTGGTGCTCCAAGATTTTTTAAAGGTATGATACAATGGTTCTGAGATAACATCTGCCAGCTCCTTCAGAACTCTGGGGTGTAATCCATCAGATCCCGGTGATTTATATTCAAGGTTAGAAAGGTGTTCTCTTACTATTTTCATGCTTATTTTAATTTTTATTTCTAGTCTAACTTTTACAGTTATGTTTTTGGTAGATTGGGCTATAGTCTTTTTGTGTGAAAACTGATGCAAAGAATGAATTAAGCAGCTGTGCTTTCTCTCTACTGCCTGTTATTCCCTTACCATCTTCTGTCTTTAATGGACTGTTTCCTTGACTTTTTTTCTTGTTGTTTATATGTTAAAAGAAATGTTATTATTTTTGACTTTTGTTACAAGTCTTTGTTCATTCTGAGCCTTTGCTTTCCTGACTGCATCTTTACAGATTAGGCTATCTGCTGATATTCAGCCTTTGTTATGTGTCCCTCTTTTCATTTTTATACATCCCTTTTCTCTTTATCAGAGAGATGGTTGTGCAACCATGCTGGTTTCTTCTTGGATTTCTTGTTTTTCTTTTCCAGTGGTATTGTGTTGGATTGGGCTTTTATGATCATATTTTTCAATGTTTCCCATGTTTCTTGTTTTCTCCTTTAGGATTTTTATCCATGAAAATTTGTTTAGGCTCTCTCTGGGTTTGTTAAAATCAGCCTTTTAAAGTTTAAGATGCTGGTTGGATTATATTCTATTGTTTGTGTTTGTATTATATTGAATTCCAGTATGACGTGATCACTCTTGCCCAAGGTTCCAGCAACTTCAACTCCCTCTATCACTTCTTTTCTATTAGTAAGAATTACGTTAGGTCCAGTATAGTTTTTCCCCTAGTTCCCTTCTTCTATGCCAGTGTGGTTTATTCAATAAAGTTTTAAAATAATGTCCCAGGAGTTCCCTTCTCTGACCATTTAGGTCAGCGGTCACCAACTATTGGTCTGTGGATGAGAAAAATTTGGTGGTCCCCAGAAAACTTATTTGAATTTTTTATATTGCACTAAATCAGGGATCTTCAAATTACAGCCCCTGGTACAGATACGTGCAATGAACGTTTGTGTTGCTGCAGAGTCTCCCCTTCTGGGTCTTTTTGTGTGCGTCGGAGAGGGGGAGAAATTCTGACTTGGGGTCTGCTTCAGCCTCCTGGTGTGGAGCTTTAGCGAAAACTAGAGGGAAGCGCCACTGGTGGCAAAGAGCCGGAGGGCCTTGTTCAAGTGGGACTGCCTCATGGCCTGGAACTGGCTGACCATCTCAGCCTGCTGAGCCTCCAGGCGCTGATACCTGGCCTTGCACTCCCGCAGGTCTTCCCTCTGCTTGGAAAGCCTAAACTCGTAGTCCTCAGTGAGGTGCTTCTGCTGAGCCTCCTTCTCGGTCAGATCCAATTTGAACTGAGTCAGCTGTTTTGCCAACTCTTTCTCGTGGTGGCTAATTAGCTCCAATGCTTCCTGTTGGAGCCCTAAGAAGGCCGGGCAGGCAGGCAAGGAATGGCTGGGAGGAGAGGAGCAAGTAGAGGCTGGCGAGGCACCCCTTGACATGAGTGACATTGAGTTGGCCGCACCCACCCAGTCACATGACCACCCAGCCAGTCATTAGGCAGATCATATTAGTGGTCTGCAGGCAGGGGTGAAATGCTGCTGGCTTTATCCGTCTCACAGGAGTCAGTAGTGCCAGTGGCGGGTAGTTCAGAGAAGCAGTAGCACCGGCAGCGGGAGGCTCTGCCCCCCCTCTCCCCCAGCAGCAGGCTCTGTCACGTCCTGGTTTTGACCATCTGCCCATGCGCAGGCTTTACGCATGCGACGATGGCATGCGTGCAGACGATGGCACGTGCACATCAGCGAACCGGTAGGAAAGGTAAGTACATTTCACCCCTGTACGCAGGATTTAAAATTATGAATTTAGTGGCCCCTGATGTCTGAAATGTGGTGACCCCTGATTTGGTTGACAAAGTTGTCAGTTAAGTTGGTTAGGAATCTATTTGATCTCCCATTTGTTGCAGTTTGTCTCCTGGTTGATAGTAGGGTAGTTAAAGTCTGCCATTATCACTGTGATATGTTTCCTACATACATTTATTAATTGATTAACAAAGAGTTCATCTATTTCTTCTGCTTGGTTGGGTGGCCTATAGCAATATCATTCCCCCACCTTTTATATTGACCCATATGGATTCTATGAGGTTTTCATCCTTGGTTTTGGGTATTTCTGTAGAGATGTAGTGATCCTTTACATATAATGAAACTCCAGCTCCTCTTTTGTTAGGTCTGTTTCTTTTGAATAGTTCGTATCCTTCCATCAGTACATTCTAGTCACGAGTGTCATCCCACCAAGTTTCAGTAATGGCAACTATATCATATCTGCCTTCATGTACTAATACTTCGAGTTCATCCTATTTGTTCCCTAAACTTTGAGCATTAGTGTATAGGCGCGTGATGGCTAACCTATGGCACGTGTGTCAGAGGTGGCATGCAGCGCCCTCTCTGTGGGCACGCAAGGCGTCACCCCAGTTCAGCTCTGCTGCATATGCATGGGCACCTCCCACAGCCAGCTGGTCCTTGGGTCTCTGCCCCGCATGCACGGGGGCAAGGCGCGGGCTGCTGCTTGGACAGATAATCAACTCACCTGTGCTGTGTGGTCTGCAGCTGCTGCCAGATACCATCGGCCCACATGCACTCACCACCTCCTGTGCTGGCCACACTCATCCCTCTTCACTAGAGCTTATTTTTGGGTAGAGCTTATATTAGGCACATACTTAAAAATTAGGCCAGGGCTTATTTTCAGGGTAGGTCTTATTTTCGGGAAAACACAGTATGTGTTCTACAGAAGCTGTTTGTTCCTTATTGTGTACAATTTGGATGTATCGGTTTTCTTCTTTAATGTTCATATATGGGGTTATCATGAAGTTAAAGGTTCAAATAAGTATCATCCATGTTTTATCAATGACTTGATAAATCTTCGAAAATAAGTGTAAAATATACCTAATGCTATCCCAATTACACTCCTTTCTTAAATCATTTAAGCAAGATAAATTCTTAGTGCTCAACATCTCTAGACTAAATATTAATTATGAAGTAGTGCAACTTTTTACATCTTACCCTGCCTTCTCCACCATAACTTTTCTCTCATAATCCTTAAGTAACATGGGCTTTTCTTTCTTCTTTGTGGAAGTCTTCTTACAAACACTGGCTGAGGAAGAATCTGAGAAGAGAATCAAGCATAACTGATCACCTGACAACTTCTAGTAAAGTTAAATCATTACTCAACCCAAATACAACCCGCATTGCGCCCATGCAATCTCTCCTCATCCATAGACCTCTCTGCCCTTTGTGGTATATAGAGGAACTGAGAGGGCTGAAATGGATGAAGAGACTTCTAAAGCACCACTGGTGAAAGACAAGGGATGAACTTGACCTAACATGGGTAAGAGCTGCTATTAAGGCTTACCTTGTGGCGATTTATGTAGCGAAATGTAAATACTTCTCCGTACTAATTGTGTCTGCAGATAATCGCCCAGCGACCCTCTTTAAGGTGAGCCGCCTCCTCCTCCTCCTGGGGAAGGAGGAGATTGAGGTCCACCTGAAGGGGTGAGCTGAGGAATTTATGGATTTTCTGGAAGACAAAATCGACTTCATTCCCAGTTAGATGTTGGTGTGGTTGCTGGTCCATCGGAAGCCCCTGAGGCAGGTTCTTGCTCTGTTATTTGGGAACAGTTTGACCCTATCACTCCTGAGGAAGTGAACAGGATCCTAGGGAGTATGTACGCAAACACTTGTATTTTAGACCCATGTCCCTCCTGGCTTGTGAAAGCTTCCCGGGAGCTGATAGGCGGGCAGACTCTGGTGGTGATTAATGCTTCCCTACAGGGTAGTGCCCAAGTACTTTAAGGAGGCTGTGATCCGCCCTCTTCTTAAGAAGCCATTTCTGGATTCCACCCTGTTGGATAATTTCCAACCTGTCTCCAATCTTCCCTTTTTGGCAAAAGTGGTTGAGAAAGTAGTTGCGCGGCAGCTCCAGAGGTTTCTGGATGAAACGGATTATCTAGATCCCTACCAGTTAGGATTCAGGCCTGGATATGGGACAGAAACAGCACTGGTCGCACTTTTGGATGATCTCTGGAAGGAACGGGATAGAGGTAGTGCATTCATCCTTGCTCTACTTGACCTCTCAGCAGCTCTCGATACCATCAACCATGGTATTCTTCTGGAGCAGCTTCGCAGGATGAGAGTGGTGGCTCTGTGCTATCCTGGTTTACTTCCTTCCTCTGCAGCTACTCTCAGTCAGTGTCGATAGGAGAAGAGAGATTCAGCCCTCGCCCACAGGGCTCGGTGCTCTCCACTTCTGTTCAACATTTATATGAAGCCATTCGGTGAGATCATCCATCACCATGGACTGAGGTATCATCAATATGCTGATGATACTCAGCTGTATCTCTCAGTCTGTGGTGAATTAAGCGATGCCGTGTCCTCCCTCTCACAGTGCCTGAAGGCTGTTAGGGGCTGTATGGGGAGCAAGAGGTTGAAACTGAATCCTGGCAAGACTGGGTGGCTCTGGATTTGGGGTTCTTTGGCCCATGGAGAATTGCCACCTTTGGTCTTGGATGGGGTGGCACTACTCTAAACAGACCGTGTGTGTAATCTGGGGGTTCTCCTGGATTCACAACTCCTGCTTTAAGAGCAGGTGGCGGTCGTGACCAGGAGGGCCTTTGCACAACTGTGGGTTGTGCGCCAGTTACACCCTTTCCTGGACAGACAATCCCTACTCATGGTCACTCATGCCCTAGTCACTTCCCATCTTGACTATTGTAACACACTGTACATGGGGCTGCCCTTGAAGAGTATCCAGAAGCTCCAGCTGGTGCAAAATGCAGCGGCCCACAAGGTTTTTGTGTAGACCTTGATGTGCACATGTATTACCTCTCCTGCAGGAGCTGCATTGGTTGCCGATTTGCTTCCAGGTACAATTCAAGGTGCTAGTTGTCACCTTTAAAGCCCTTCATGGCTTGGGATCAGGTTATCTGAGGGACCGTCTCTTACCGGTCATATCTACCCAACCCACTAGAGCAGGGAGGCAAAGAATGTTGGGGGTCCCATCCCTGAGGGAAATACATCTGGTGGGACCCAGAAGAATGGCCTTCTCCATGGTGGCTCCGTCTCTCTGGAACATCATTTCCCCCAGAGATTAGAATGGCCCCCACTCTAACACTCTTCTGGAAGGTGCTGAAGACCTGGTTCTGCCAGCAGGCCTGGGGAACCCAGAGTGAGATGGAGCCCATTAAATGGCTGGTGTGATGTGTTGTCACCAGGTGGAGGGCTATTATATTATTTTATTAATTTATTTGATTATTTTCATTTATTAGTTTTATTTTATATATGTAGTTTTTGTACCCCTGTAAGCTACCTTGGGTTGCCATGTGCTAATAGGCAGCAATATAAATTTTCAAATAAATAAATATGTATGTATGTATGTATGCTTAGACAAAGCCACTGGACAGTTGCCTTAATCCAAAAACATTGTAAACAATACTCACCTTCCTCAGTGTAGAAAGTGACATTCTTTTGATAAATTCGGGGATCCTTTGTTTTTAATAAGCCTAACATGGAATAAAAAGCACGATCCAGTTTGGGGTCAAGTTCCTATAATGGAAGGAAAGAACCACCAGAGGTGAATATTACCATTTGGAAAAAAAAATTTGCTCTGTGATACCTTTGTCCTAGCAAAGATAGAACTTCAAAAATACAGACATCAGAAAGCTCTAGACTGCCCTTTATAAGAGTCCCTTAAGAGGTCTGACCCTGCTGTTCTTCAAAAGAGCCCTGAAGACATGGCCCTTTGCCCAGAAAAGAGCTTTATTCAGTGCTAATTGCTAAGAATTCTGCCTAGCCCTCTCCATGTCTTTTATCAATGTTTTAATGTATTACTTTTGCTTTTAATCCTTACACACCACGAATAATTCTCAATAAGTTGGAGGCATTAGAGTTAAATTCAGAATTTAGACATTTAAATTATAAGCAGCACTTTTAGGAAGGTGATAAAAACCCCGTCCCCTAGCAGCAAAACTCAGAGTTCCCCCTTGCGAACCTCTGGAAAGTCAGCGTTTCACTTGCAGAGAGAAAGGGCCCAGACGTCGCTCCAATTGCTTTGGAATGTCAGCTTTCAGAGCAGCAGGGGAACACCACCCGTCAGGAAATGTAACCCGATTCTCCCGGATTAACAGAAATGAGGGCTTCTTGTCACTCAACGCCTACCCACCTCCTCTTCGCTAGACGCCGACTCGGAACTCGAGACTTTCTCCTCTTCCCCATATTTGTCCTGCACTGAGGGAGCGAGAAATCAGGCATAACATGAAGACAGCGCGGTAACAAATCCCCAAAGCGCAAACCCGACCACATTGTCCACCACTCACGCCGCTGCAGCTCCTCGCGACGCCGGTACTTCCCATAACGTGCAGCAAACGCCGCATTGACCCGCAATGCCGGCTGGCCAGACATCGCGTTACCACTCAGGCCTTCTGCATTGAAAGCAGGTTCATTTCCGGGTCGCTCAGCACGGAAAGGGTTGGGCTCACCAGCGGAAGTAATTGGATCTCCTCCCAGTCACCGGAAAGCTATCAATCAGCTAGTTGTTCCACTGGAGTGAGTACTTTGGAGGCGGGGCCAAATAAACTACGCAGAACTTGCCCAATATTAATATAAAGTAGGTGGGACGAATGTCCTTAACTTTTCTCAAAACGAAGCAGAATTCCAAAACGGGATGGCATCTTAAAAATGTAAACGCATTATTATTTAAGAGCTTCTACTAGACCGAACATATCAAGCACTATTTTAGAGATAGTGATGTTGTATGATTATAAAATGCAAAAAGTATTTTGTTTTTCATTTCATCAGTATTTAAATTACCTATTTTTTTCTATACGTATATGTTTGTGAATGCATACACAGATGCACGCAAGGATGAAGTTTTGTACGTCTGATAGCTATAAATCGAATTTATTGGCAGCCCTACTCATAAGCTGACTTCAATAAACTAAGAGAAGACAGAAATGAGGTTATGGATGGCAGGGAGAAAGTGGAACTGCTTAATTCCTTATTTGCATCTGTCTTTATGCAAAAGAAAAAAATAATCCAACCTATCAAAAGCAGCATCATAGGTGACAAAACAGGAACGCAAGTCAAAATAGGCAGGAAAATGTTAAGAGAACATCTATCCACTCTAGATGAATTCAAATTGCCAGGACCAAATGGATTACCTCCCAGGCGCTGCTGTGCCCACTTCACCAGTAGAATATAATAGAATATAACTTTATTATGGTCATAGACCAGCAATAGACATCACTGTTTACAATATATTAAAAAAATAGTACTGACATTAATAGTGGATAATAACATCCCAGTTAAGAAAATACATGTTCTCAAACAGTTAGGGTCACTCACTCCCTAGTTTACGTGAGTGGAGAGCTGATTTAAGTATGTGAGTAAATATAATTTTCCAAAAATTGTTAGAGATATCTTCAAAAAATTGGCAGAAGTTGACAGCTATAATTCTGTAACCAATTTTTTTCTTGTGTTCATTGCAGCAACACAGAATTTTGCCACTGCACACGTGATAGCTGGGTTTTGAGTCCTGGAAGAGAAAGCCTACATAAAAATTATCTGTTCTCCCTGGCAATCTCTCTAATAGGAAGAATATATACTGACCTATAAACTCTGTATAACTCACAGTACAATAAAACATGTGAGATATCTTCGACTTCTCCTTTACCACATATACATACCCGCTCTGCTATTGGTGTTCTCTTGTATGAGGAAAAGGAGGCATTTATAGTAGTGCATTTTAATTTCTCCCAGAGGGTGTTCCTGGATATTGAATCGAAGGCCTACTTAAAATCAAGGAAGGCCACGAAAAGAGGAATTTTTTTTATATATGTGTATTTTTGAACCAGATGGTGAAGTACCAAGGTATGATCTACCATTGATCTTCCTTCTCTAAAACCAGCTTGTTCATCTTTGATTTTCCCCCCTGACGTTAGCCAATCCTGAAATTTATAGTATAGGTGTTTGGCATACAATTTACTAATAACACTCAGAAGACTAATGGGTCTATAATTGCCTGGGTCATTTCTATTACCCTTTTTATAAATTGGTATAATAATTGCTAATCCCCTATCTCTTGGCATATGGCCTGGTTTATCTATAAATGTAAACAGAGATGATAAAAGTGGAGCCCAGCAACTGACATTCTTTTTGATTATTTCTGGAAGGACATTTATCAGCACCAGGTGCCTTATTAGCTTTGAGGGATTAGATCAACCAGGATATCTCTTCTGGTGTAACAGGTGGCCGGTAAGGAGTTTGGTCCAAACTAATTTGGCTCTCCTTAGTTACATAGTTGGGGTCTCTATATAGCTCTCTCATATATTCTTCCCAGGCATGAATTAGTTGGGGGTAATGGGGATTTCCCCATTCCTCTAGTGATGTACCAAAAAAGGGATGTATTTTTTGTATTGACTGATGCAATTAATCTATGCCAAGACTCCTTCAGAGCTGCACTTTTCTTTTCTTTTAGGAGGGTCTTATATTGTGCCTTCAACTGCTTTAAGTAGTGAGTGTGATCCTCAGAAGGGGCGTTTTTACTTTTTCTGTACTCCCTATTATATATCCTTTTCAGTTGCACACAATATCTATCAAACCATTTTTTATTCTTTAAAACTGGCTTTTTGGAGTGAGCTAGTATTCTGTTAGTGAGAACCGATTTCAAATTTGAAATTAAGGTTTCAAACCTCTCTAAGTATAATCCTTCAAGCTTATTTCTTAGTAGAAATGTACGTAGTTCTATGGTTTCTGGAACTAACTTCCATTTAGTACCTTCCTTTGCATTTTTCTCGGTCCATTTAATTTTTACCTGGGTATTTTGGCTCTCTAACCTGGGTAGGTAGATTGAGCCAATCCTTAAAAAAGTCTGGTGTAATGTAAGAGTAAGGATTACTGAATCTTGATCGCTTTCCAGTCTACCTCCATCTTCTGTAAGAACTTCCGGAGGTTGTATGATATTATCCAGTAATCAACTGTGAATTTTCTTCCTGCTCCCCGATAAGTATATTCTGCTGGGTAGTCACCCCATGTGGAACCATTAAGGTTACAAAGGTCCAAACGTACAGTCATCTGTCCTACACACAAACCTGCCTGATTTGCTTTAGGGTCTTTAAATTGTCTGGAATGCAGGGGTTCTCCTGGTACATTCTCATCATAATGGATCTTAAATTGATTAAATAATGCTTGTTCATTTGGGCCCATCCTAGCGTTTAAGTCCCCCCCCCCTATAATTATTGCTGCTGTGGGGTATTTGTCTGAGTAGCCAAGGATAAAATCTATGCTGTCCCAAACCTTGTTGATCAAATTATTTTTATTAAGTGGAGGAATATAGATATTAAAAATGTTTAATTAAGAGTAAGGTAGTCACAACCCATGGCTGTGGCAGTGATACACATTTAAATTGCAGGGATGTATTAACTAATGTCACAATACCCTCTTTAGCTCTCCCGCCCATCTTACTTGGGACAGCTGGGATAGAGTTAGCCCAATAACCATCTAACTCAGCGGTTCTCAACCTGGGGGTCGCGACCCCTTTGGGGGTCGAACGGCCATTTCACAGGGGTCGACAAAGCCCTCTCTCGCCCCCCCCCCACGCCTTCACTCACCCTCACCCTCTGCTGGATCGCCCGGTCGCTGTTCGCTTACCCCGCCCACTCCCAATCTATTGCTGCCTCCGGAGTCCCAGCTGATGGCTAGAGGGAAAAAAAACTTTAAATTCTTGCCCGGGGCTTCAAAGAGCCCCTACTCTCAGCTGTTTTGCGGAGGGCTCTGTTGCTAGCTAGCTGCAAAGAGGTAAATTCCTGGAGCAGATTTTTTTTTTCCCCTAGCTATGCTGAAAAAGCGAAATTGAAAGTAAGCAGGGTCTTAACCGGAAACCGGTTTCCGGTTGCGTCATGCTAAATGGAGGACTAGGAATTGTGTAGCTGCTTATCCTAGTTCTCCCTTTTCTGTGTCTGGCGGTTGTTCCTGCGCCATCGTGAGCCGTGGAGAGGCTTGCGAAGAAGGGGAGGCATCGGGGCATGCGAGGAGGTGGCTTTCCCGCAAGCTGGCAGATTTCTTCTCAGGATACCAGCACAGAAAGAGGGCGGCGTGGGATCGCCCCGAAATCGTGACTATACCAACTGGAGAGGGGAGCCCGCCAGCGTGGTGTAAGAATTCTACTTTACTAAGTTAGCTCAGAGCTGACTGAACCTCCTGCCTAAGAAACATATAAGATTTGCCATTTACTGGGGGAGCGGCTGAAATGGAGAAACGACTGTCTTGTAAACTTCTTGCTGCTAGCTGTTATTTCCCCCTCAGAAGCAGTTATTGATCTCCCTTTGAACTTTGATATTATCAAAACTTCATCTTCTCCCTTCTTTTTATTTGAATATATTGTCTGTTGGATGAGGAATAATTGACTGATCTTGTTGAAGACGTAGTGAGATTTTCTCTTTTACTTCTCTCTTTGTCACATTATCAGAAGAGGCGAGCTTTTTGCCACATCTTGACTTGATATTTTTTTCTTCTTTCCCCACTGCTGAAGACGGAGACTGCCCTTGGTTGGTCTTGTACTGCCACCTAGTGGTGGATTTGGATATTACAACTAAAGGAAAGGAAAAGAAAGGAAAGGAAAGGTGGCGGGAAAAAGATATATATACACTGCCTCATAATAAACATTGAAAATAAACTAATTTGGATATATCAAGAGCTGATGGATTAACTTATTTGATTTAAAAGACTTGATTGATATATTTATTCAACAAAGAGTAGAGGAACAGTGGTTGTTTTCAGTTATGTCTACATCTTCAACTATTACCACAACAAATAAGAAAATTATCTCTCTGCCTACCGCTGTAACCCCAAATTCGACGTGTTTAGCTTCTAGAAGAATATCGGAAGATATGTCGGCGACGGGGAAGACGCCCTCTATGCAGGCTCTTCAAAATATGTTACAAGCCATCCAGGAATCAATGGCTAAAAACCAGGAGTCGACATCTAAGAACTTTGAGGACTTGGGAGCAGATGTGAAAGCGGAAATGAGAGGGGTTAAAGAAGAAATTAAACAGATGCGAAGTGAACTGGGAGATATACGACAGACATTAATACAACAAGAGGAAAAAATGAAGGAGATAGAGAAGAAGATGGAGAAATGCGAAGGACGGATGGACAGTTGGGAGAAGAGACAAATAACCATAAATAGAGACTTAGAAGAAGAAATAATTTTTCTGGAAATGGAGAGATCTTCTTTTTTCCTTAGAATACAGAATGTGGCGGAAGAGAAAGGGGAAAAACTGGATGACATTGTAGGAGAAATAGTTGCAGAAACTTTGGAGGCAGATAGACTCATGATCCAACGGGATATTGATGAGGCCTTTAGAGTATTCACTAGCTACGCAAAAAGGAACAATCTTCCTCGGGAAATTCATGTTCGTTTTAACAAGAAAGCTTTGTGTGAAGAATTTTATAAACGAACAAGGGATCAAACTATTACATATAAAGGCCAACCGATGACAGTTTTGAAACAAATCCCACGTCGGGTAAGGGAACAGAGACGCAGATATCAATTTTTGATGACTTTCCTGAGGAAAAATGCAATTTCATATCGTTGGTTATTGCCTGAAGGTTTATTGATGACATGGAGGGATAAGAAGGTGAGGATTCGGAGTCTTCAAGAAGCAAGAGAATTCATGGAACAACAATTTAATTTGTCAGAATTAGATGTTGAAGGAGAAGGGGAAAGTAGAAGTTTGGAGGAATCGCAAGAGGAAGAAGAGGTAGAGGAGAGGAGAGAAGGAAAGGCGGGAAAGAAGGGTGGGGGAATATGAAAAGTCGAGGAATTAACAGCACCTCAGAGGGAGACAAGACAAACAGTTAAGAAGGCTATAACAGCGGGAAAGTAAAAACTTAGATGAGAAAAGGAAATGGGGGAATTAGTGCGTTTGATATCTGTAAATATTAACGGTTTAAATGCTCCTAATAAACGTAGTAGGATTTTGAATAAATTAAGAAAGGCTAAGTATGATATTGTCTGTATGCAGGAGACTCATATAAAAAAAGATCAAAACCATTTGTTAGAATGCCGGGCGTTGGGTAAAACTTATACCTCATTAGCAGGTCAAAAAAAAAGAGGGATAGTGGTATATGTACGACATCATTTGAAATCCCAACAGGTTTTTGCTGACCAGGAAGGCCGGGTTCTCATGCTCGAAATAGAAATTGCCCAGTGGAAGTCTTTATTGGTTTGTATTTATGCCCCTAATGACAATCAGAGGACTTTTTATCAAAACTTATATGTTAAATTGGGGGAACTGGAATATGAACATGTCTGTCTAGTGGGGGATTTCAATGCTGTAACGGATAGAATGCAGGATTATGTCCCGGGAAACATACAAGGAAAGTTAAAGGATATTAAGAGAACATTACCAAAAATATGTAATGATTTAAGGGAGGAATTTGGATTACAGGATATATGGAGGTTGAGACATCCCAATAAAAATCAATATACTTATTTCTCTCCCAGACACCACTCGTGGACCCGAATAGATATGATATGGATGTCTCTTGAGTTGAGGGGGCTGGTCTCGGAAGTGGAAATAGGGCCCAATCAGTGGGCGGATCATAACCCGCTAATGGTAACTTGGAAGATCCCACATTGTAGGAAGAGTAGA